TCTCTCTCTCTCTCTCTCTCTCTCTCTCTCTCTCTCTCTCTCTGTATATATTTAGCTGCTATCTTTATTATCGATTAAAGTTTCTCTCGTTTATTCATTAAATGTTATTTTTCTTTTACGACGGATGGTACGCACACACAAATCCAAAGCGCTGCATACTTTCGTCGAGGATATTATATTATGCGAAATTGTCGCTAAGAAACTATAAGAGATTCAAGAAAGCGTAACACTCTAAGAAGTTGCTGGTTAACTCGGTAAATAAATCCTTTACGTAGTCAAATAGTTTTCACAAATTGTCACTATAGTTAGTTGGCAAAGGAAGTGGATGAGATTTGTTCAGCTCGAACAAATAATATTATAACGAGAGTTTCTCTCATATTTTCTAATATTTTTAATATTTCTTATAACACAAATCACATTAGTGTACCAATTTTAGCCTTTTAACAAAGATGTAACGATACGATTGTGTAAACACAGATAAAACCGAGTACTTATTGATTAATTCGAATAAATTTCTAAAGCATCGTTAAATTACCAAGATGAGAATAATCGTCTTTGCACATCTTTGCTTATCTTCTTCTTGACATTTCCACGAAGAAAAAGAGGGGGGTGGGAGAGAGCCAGAGAGAGAGAGAGAAAAAAAAATAAATTTAACATAAGCATCTCGATATTTTCATTGACCCAGTATCGCTAATATTTACGGTTGTATACGTAAACGGGACGAGAATCTTTGTCTTCTCTTTGATGCACGATCCACTATATGTAGAAAATGTTATTGTGCGTATACAAGATCCATCCATCCATCGGAATTTTATAAATAAATCCACCTACTGTCATTGATCATTACGCAAGAAATAAGATGTATATATGCAAGGGAATATTAAAAAAGTATGCTATAAAAAGTTTACTATACGCGTCGTTGAAACATTATTACGTCTAAAAAAAATTAAAACGATAATTTATATTGCTCGACATCACACACACAAATAAGCCCATTTCTTACAATAAGAACAATTCATTTCTAAGATAATAATACAAATATTGGTGTATACATAATTCAGTTGAAATTATTATATATGAATTATATATACTATCGACGTTAATAAAAAAGGATTTTAGTTAAATAAGACGTTAAAAAGAAGTCTGAATATTTTCACGAGTTTCAAAGTTATCTCTTCCTTGATAGATACATATATGCATAAATACATACATATGTAAGTTTAATAGAGTCTCATAGTTAAGCGTAATTCATTGTTTGTTTTATCGTGCTAACGTCGTATTCATTGCGGTTACGTATTTCCTTCCTTCAAAACCGATAGTTAGAACACGATCGTAGGTAACAATCAGCCGAGACAATTTTCAGTCACGTTGTAAGCCGTTATCAGGAAACTCTATCGATTATTCTTCTTTCTTCTCCCAACCGTTGGCCATATGTTACTGTGTACATACGTTTGTATGTACGATATCGTTTTATAAATACAATGGAGGATTAAAAAAAAAAAAAACGGATATTCTACGATTTAGTTCATTCGAGATCCTGTAGATCCTTGATCTACTCACAAACACTCGATCAAAATTATTCTTCAGATTAGATTTATAAATATATTACGAACGATAGAGAAAAAATAAGATTAGAAGAAGATGGTATGCAATTTTGGAGAGAGGGAAAAAAAAGAGAGAATTTAAACGAGAAAGAAAGAGAGAGAGAGAGAGAGAGAGAGAAAGTAAAAGAGAACTCTAACGTCAGCAACGAGCAACTTTATCCTTATCGCATTGGAGACTAAGGAGATAAGGAAAGTGGTTGGTCAGACGAGAACGAACAGTACGATGTTTCTTTTCATAAATCGTGTTAGTCTCACCGTGTGCTCTTTAGTTGTTCGATAGTTATTTTACGTTTACTATCGAAGAACTATCAAAAGTGATTATAATGAAAATTTTTGATCTCCAATTGGCATAGGGAAAAGAACAAAATTGTATAATAACTGGAATCGCTGAATCATCGTGTTCTTGTTAATGTCATCGATCGAGTGATTCGCGTAAACGTAACGTATAACGCATATAATCGGTGATAAAAATAAAAATAAAAATAAAAAATAAAAAAAAAAAGGGATATATATATATATATATATATATATATACACGCGCTAAAGGTGTTATAACAAAATTACAAAGTGTAGATATACTATCATTTAGTGATAATCAATTTTCTCGCGGATCATGTAACAAGAGTCTTAATAACGACTCAATGAATACACCTACACGTAACGCACATGTATACGCGTATATAACCTGGATGATATCGACTAGAACTCGTTAATGATTCCACGAAGATACCTTAGAGATGTGTATTAGAAAAATGTACGTTCCATTGGACGTTATACCGCTACATCATCTTCCGTATCGTCGCCGTTACTAATTAATTCTAGCCAATTAACACCAGATAGCTTGGCAGGCTACTTGAACGTCTCCCCCGGAGTTCACTACGACCTTGCTCGTAAATTATTTAACTTTGTACGCGTTGCAACTGCGCGAGAGAAAAATAGGATCATCCTTTATTTTCGTGTTACTCCGATCGCAATAAAATTGTCGAATCTATTCGCTTCCTCAAATACATAAATTAGAACATATTTGCAAGTATATAGATATAATAGTATACGGTGAATCTAAACTTCTTCTCTACTACTATTCCTTTCTCTTTTCTATTTCATTTTTCGTCTTTTTCTCCGTACACGAAATCACGTTTCCAAACGTATCTTCATATTATACTTGCTATACATTTTTTCTTATTTCCTTGACGTAAACGATAACAAGCACCACACCGGGCAAGCGGGATGAGTTAAGATTAGAGAATATTGGAAGCGTAAAGTTTATCGACGATCCATGAAACTATCGAACCCGTCGATCTTATTACCCTTGAGAGATCGTGCAGCACGAATTGGCCATGGAACAACTACAACGGTCAACAACAACCATTGGCGGCTCGATACTATTTCATTTATTAATCAAAGATCCAAACTAATCGAAAAGAAAAAATGATACGACGGTGCGTACGCGTAACGTACGATTTTTCGACGTTTTCATTTGATTTCTTATCGATTTTATTACGTGTTTTAAAAAAAAAGAAAAAAAGAAAAAGGGGGTCAAAGTTGAAAATAACAGAGAAAAGCATCAAAAATTTTTCTGTACTCTAGATAACAATTGAATTTGAAAGAAATATCTTATACGAAAAGTTGAACTCTATTTATGTGAAGTGTTTGTGATAAGTTTAAAAGGATAAAAAAAAAGGAAATCAAAATTGTATCAAGGATGTCGTGCAGAAAGAAAATCGATTCGAAGCTTTGGCTCGATTACACGCAGGCGGTAAGCTTACCTTCCCCTTCTTTTTACTCTATTCTCTCTCTCTCTCTCTCTCTCTCTCTCTCTCTCTCTTTTTCTTTCTTTCTCTTTTTCATGTTTTCTCTAGTATTGTTCACCAACTAGCTATTCGTGCATCGTGATAACGGTTATCGACTACAAATTCCATATTAAGAGACTGGAATCTTACAAGTAACGAGTTTCTAAGGTAACGGAGTTAATAAATCGATTTGACGTTATCGTGGAAAGAGAAAGAGAGAGAGAGAGAGAGAGAGAGAGAGAGAGAGAGAGAAAACGATCGAATAGTTTCACGAGTGATGTTAAGATTCATTGTGTGTTAGTTAACAATGATAGGATAATTATCTATAAATAAATCCAACGAGCATTATACGATGTGAAACTGTGAGAATATACAAATAAACGGGATAATAAACTAGCAATTAAAATATCTTCGTATTCGATTAGTTGTTTTCATATAAACTATAGACAACAAATTAGCATAATCTATTATGAAATAATTAAAAGTATAACTTTTTGATGATCGTTCGTTCCTTGATCGTTCCTTCGTGATTTTTATATAAAGAATATTGCGGTGTCTAAAGGAGTGTTAGGTTTCCCCATAAAAGAGTATGCATGCATTTAATGTGTAGACAGTATAACAAGGAAGCTGATCACACACAAAGCATATTAGGTGTAGTAAATAAACCGGATGGACGATATGCGTTGTTCATAACGATTACCATGAACAACGATGGTGTAATTCAAATACACCGAGGACATTTATATAAAGAAAAACAAATTTGCATTAGGAACAATTGTTACGATACTACCTAAGATTTATTCGTTTTTTGTTAGACGAAGTTGAACGTGCAACATCCTTTTCGAAAGAAAGAAAGAAAGAAAGAAAGAAAGAAGACGACACAACGACGACGACGAGTGTATCGTAAAAAGTATGCCAGGCCAAGTCAGGCCAAACTATACCACCTAACAGAACCGTACAGCGGTCAAACAAAAATGGCCTATATTACGTAGCGCGAGAACTTTCTTGTCCACTCGATCAAGTCTCTTTTCTATTTTATTAAAAATTCCTTTTTTACTTTCACAGATAATAAAATGGCGATTAGACGAAGTCATTGAACCTAACATTTGAAATCAGTATTATTAACAATCTGTATTGATCATAATTGAAACGCACGTTAGGTAGACATCGAAAGAATAACAAAAGTGGGGAAAAAGAAAAGAGAAAATGTAAATTCAATTAAAAATAGGGTTGGGGGAGAGGGTTGGGGGGTTGAGGGGGGGGGTTAGATAGCGTGAATGCAAGCCATTTCTATTCGCTACTGTAAGTTAGCTCGGTTGGCCTCGCCTAACCGCGCGTGCAGTCAGTCGTCTCACCTCTCAGTTGGCCTTTATCGGGACTCACCGCGTCCCTCGAATCCCCTCTTTTTCCAACATTTACCTGTCTCTCCCACCCTGGAGTGGGATATGTCCCACTCTTACTCTTTCTTGAGCGAGTCGACTGGTCGCGCGAGTATAGAGTAGTATAGTTCCTCCACAGGATTCGTGCGATTCCGTTGCTTCTCGTTCCTCTTCTTCCCTCTCTTTCGCCATTTGGATGGACTCGCGTGCGCGCCTGCGCCAGGGACAAAGAATATGTCAGCAACAGCAGCAACAGCATCAGCAACATCAAGAGCATCAACAACGGTGTTCCAGGCGAGACTTTGGAAGAAGAAATAAAAACGAAACTAGAGACAGAGATAAAGATAATTCGAGAACTAGATAAATATTATTAGTTCTAAGTGCGTTACGTGCGAGACAAAATATAAAAGAAAAAGAATTCGTTCGTCTGGTTCTCTCTCTCTCTCTCTCTCTCTCTCTCTCTTTTTAACATTCAAAGAATTCTCGAGGAAGTTCGGCTCTCTTCGAGGACATTCGTGTTTCGTTGGGTAAACTGACCGGCGTCCTATCTTTCATATACACATACACGCGCGCGCGCACGCACACACGCATACATATAGCCAGGTTTTATTAGTGCTCGAGGCCGAAGGAGACGAGTCCGCGCGACGAATGTGCCGAGGACGAGTACCGAGGACGAGTGCCGACGGCAGAATGTCGTGTCGCTTCGAAATCGGATGAAATTCGATCGATGCGCGCGACAGGCTCGCATTATTTTCATCGATCTATTTTCAAATTTGATTTACAATCGAAGGAAGCAAAAATTGTGCGAGATCGTATTCTTTTCCTTCGAAACTTGAAGACATCAAGGTGAACATACAAAAATGTGTTTCTTTTCTTATAATAATATATTGTATATATCTCTCTTCTGTTCACGGTGAATTTTCTCCTGAAAAACAACATTCTTTTGAATCAATGGAAAAAAAAAAAGGAGGGCAAATATTCCAATAATATTCGAATGCGAGTTCATCTTTCTCTCTCTCTCTCTCTCTCTCTTTTGCTAAAGATTTATTCATCTCGTTAGTTAAGATTCAAACAACGATTAATTTATCGAGCATTAATTACATTGATTTTATCGGCAAACGAATCGCTTGGAATGTCAATTATAATAACGTTGACTCGGTGTAATACTTTCAATGCATTATCGGTTTAACACAATATGACGCATTTTTTACATCGTCCCTGATTTCCTCGAAAAATTGACCAATGGCCTTATAACGTTTATCGCGAATGACCCCGTTTCGTAAGTCATTGATTGCACCGGTGCACCGGTGTACCATCGCGAGATATTCCACGAAGACATTTTTTCTATATTATACTCTGATACAAAACGTCAGATTTATTTAGAATTCGATCATTATATCAAAATCATAGTTAACCATCGATAACTATTTCAATCCTTTCCTTTACATCTAACAAATATGTGCTTTTCATTCAGAAAAAAACGAACAGCTGTGCACTTTCGCTGAAAGAAAAGTGGATCGAACACGATGAATCTAGTTAGTACCGTTAGATTGCATCAAATATTGTTTGTAAATATATATAGGAGTTTAATGCATATGTAGAGATATATAATATGTGTGCATAAATAAATTGTAATTAAAACTCAAAGAGTCGTAAGTTTCGTGGATCGCTTCCTGCCACGTAAGCGTTTGCCCGGATTCCATAGCAGGAAAGTTCAATTCTCGTGATTACTCGTTTGTGTTCAAGCGTGTGACACAAATGTTACTTCTCACACGTTCCGATCTATTCCCTGTTATACACGAGTATACAGTTGTTCTATCTTTCCTGATAGCTCGTCGAAGACCTAGTGATTTCAAATCGATAATATAATTTGTACGAAACTCGATCGATCCAAGGATTTTGATAAAATTTTTCAAATTTTTACGCGTACACACACACACACATACACACACACACACAATATCTAGATCATTTAGAGATTAAATATACATATCTCTTTTTTTCAATAATCGCGAGGAAAATCAGATTTTGACGAAAAATATTTCAATATATTTCAGATGGAAACCGAAGTTCGAACCTTAAAAGAAGAGTTAGCTCATACTCAAGAAACTTTAAAAGCTGCGACGAAAAGATGTCGAGATTTGGTGAGAGAATTGGACAATCGTACAGCAAGTTACGAATCGGAAAGGACATTAAGGGATCAACAGTTATCACGGATTCTCCGTGCTCTATTGATCTTGGAAGCCCGATTAAAGCAAGAACAAAAGTCGATTAGACAGGTATTATGTGAAAAGGACAACGTTATTAGGAATCAACAGTTGGAGATCGCTAGGTTAAGACGTTACACCAAAAATTATATCAAATCCAAACGTGAGCAGATATTAGGAAGATCAACGGCGATTAAAGTCAACTTTGGTCCTAACGTTGATAAGAATTCTTCGTTGGAGAAGAATGAAAAACTCGAGGTAACGAGTTAAATAATTTTAATTATTATTATTTCTACAGGGTGGGCCGAAAAAAGTTTTCAATCAAATATTTTCGTTTTGTTAGTATTTATGACTTAGGAACTTTCGGACCACCCTGTATAAGAGTTTGATTTAGAAAAAATAATTCTGATTTGAAATGTTTAGAATGAAATCGATTCGAGACAAGACGACGATGATCTCAGTAAAGAGATCGAGAATCTCAAGTGTGAAATCATCACGAAGCTCGATTCTTCCGAGGTAATACCAGTCGCTTTGGAAAACTTGGATCGTAGGATCAAGAAGACTTACAGTTTTACGGGTAGCGACGTCTCCAAAACGAGTTTAACGAGTAGCGAAAATACCGATGCATCTATCGTTACTACCACAACAGAGGGTAGCCCTTCGTTGATCAGTACGGAAGGATTTTGCGAGGGGGAAAGTACGGATGTATCTCCAGGTTCGACTTTGAACAAGTCGAATAGGTGTACACCAACAACGGTAACGGATAGCGAAAATGAGACTACTATGATATTCGATGAAGATAAGAACGATTTGGATGATGATAAGGCAGAAGATGAGGATGACGAATATAACGAAAATATAAGTGACGATAACGAAGGAGAAATGTTGTTGATGGTCGGTGACGTTGCCTTTAATTCAACGAAGAAGAAAGCTTCAATGGGTAGATCGAAATCGGTAAAAAGTTCGATTAAGGACTCGTCGTTAGTGTGTACAAATATAATAAGAACGGAAAGCAAGGACGATGGTATGGATTGTAATTTTGTTTCGGAGGACGAAGAAAAGGAACAGGAACCGATATACGTTAATTCGTGCAATGAGAACAATATGAAAAATTTGGAACATTCGAATGGGATAGTCGTGCCCGAAACTTGTCAGGATTATACTAATAATAATAACGATACGTAAGTATAACGATGATATTTCATATTTCTATTCGTTTCACGTAATTTATAATCTAACGTTTTATTATATCTTTATCCTGTAGTTCGATCGAAGTCGAGACAACGGATGAACAGAATACAGAAGAGACCAGTGGGAATTGGTATAGCGATCCTGACGAAGATAAAAATAACGACGACGTTTTTAGGCATACTTCGTATCGGCCGAACAGTAATCATAATTCCGTCCTTGAATGTGTCAATCAAATTCTTTTGAGGGATATGGAAGACGAAGATCGCGTTCTTTCGGTACCGAGGAGATTTAAACACCGAGGTAGGACAGTGAGATTTCAACCAGCCAGATTGTCTGATATCGAGTCGGTTGGTTCGGAAATGGAAAGGAAAAATTCTGAAGAAGGATTGATGGAAAAGGAAACTCTCAGTGGTGATTTCAGTGATCAAAGATCGATGAACAATGCCAGTTTCGAGGCAACAACTTCCGAGGACGAATATGGCATGAGAATAGCTCATCCTGTTGATCCCAACGAAGTAGTGGGCTCTACCGTAGAATCTGTTCTCGTGGATGATTCTGAAGAGCCAAAAGTTATACCGATCGTAATCATAGAACCAAAGGTCGAGCCAGACGAAGCTACAACAAATCAAAATCTTGTCTCCTCGACGCAAAAGCCAAAAATACCGATTCAATCGGTGAGCCCACCTCTTAGAATGGAAAGAATCGAGGAGAAAACTTGTTTGCAGATGTCGACGAAACGTTTGACCATAGCTAAAAATCTTGACTACGAGGACATCGAGTCGTTACCAGAAGTTATGTTGCCAACGCCTAAAACTCCACCAGCGTTACCGCCTAAGCCACAATTTCGAAATAATACTTTGATATTGAAGAAAATACCGAGCCCGTCTTTTTTGATAGACGAAACTAGGAAAAAATTGTCAGAGGTCAGTTCCGCCGGACATGGGAAAAAGATATTTGCTCTTATCGGTTCGCCGATCGAATCTTCATCGATCACCAAGTCGTCTGTTAAAAATTTAAACTTTGACGAAGCGTCTACGAAAAATGTGGGAAACAACGAGGATGGTAATTTTTGGAAAAACAGATTCAACAACGTTAGATCGTCCTTTCAAGCTCGTCATTCCAACGAGAAGAATGTAGTCCATCGATCGCGTAAAATTCCAAGGGTTACGAACATAGTGCGACACTTTGAGGAATTTAAAATTGGCGGAGAAAATGAGGAACGATCTAAGGAACGTAGTAAACCGAAGGAGAGATACGTTCGTGCGGAATTCGGCCAAGAATTCGACATAAGGCAAAACTTTGAGGAATTTAACCTTGACGAATGCGATCTTTCGGATGATCCAAATCGGCCGGAAGCCGATGGATCCGAACGGCTCGGTAATAATCATCTCGTAGTTGCTGTTAGTCAAAATGAAACTAATAACTCGCTGACCAAAGACAATAATAATCATGTTACGACTGCTACCAGTAATCCGAATACTGGTTACGATAATTTCTTGGAGGCAACGGGTCTGAGCAACAAATCCATATTAACACCCTCGAGATTATTAAGCAATCATAAGAGTATGCTCAAGCCTAAAGACGTTAAATATAAGAATAAGATCAAAGCAACGGCAATTTTAGAAAAACACAATGCCTCAACATCTAACACGACAGCAACGACGCACGTAAGACATTGGACCGGTCCGTTCGTCTGATGATAAATTAAACGCTTTTATAAAAGCCATACTATTCACAACTAACATAAGACAAGAATATCTTAAATTATTCTAGATTTTTCAAATATCGATCCCGTTGCAAAGCTATTAAATATGCTTGCAGATTTGTTTGTGTATATGTGTGTATAACTAATATTCTCGATATGTTCCGTTCGTTGTTAAACGATTTTTAGAGATATTTAATGGATTATCTACTATTATTAAAATATACCCTATGGTATTCTGTATAATTGTAAACAAAAACTCTAGTTACTTTTATATTGTAATAGTTCAATTGAAAGAGAAGTATTTATATGTGTACGCTAAAACATCTCTTTTGTCTCCTTTTGTTTTTTCTATTTCTGCTAGCTTTAAGAACAATAATAATAATAATAATAATAATAATACTAAAAAAAGAGAACAATTTGTTTAAACTTGAACCAACCAAACTACGACTTGATAGCGTCATAAATATTGCACTTTTTCTTTTATCGACAGATTTTCTATAATATTCAATTCAAATATAAGTAATATCCGATGTTATCTCGGTGTCATTTCTAATTCCATATTTTGAAAAAATATAAACGCTATAGAGAGGATGAAATTTTCAAATCAATTTTCAACTTTATGTACACACAGGAGAAGTTAAATAAATGTTTAAATTACACTATAAATACTCTTGTTAAAAGAAATTAATAAATTGTTAGTCTATTACCTATGTCATCAATTAAAAATTAAAAAGATGGCGCCTGTTTGCATGCAACATGAAAAAAGATTGAATTATATATAAATATTACATTCAATTATCGTATTATAAGTGTTTGTTATTTACTTTAATTGTATATAATTTTATAAAATTGTTTTAAAGAGAGAGCGAGAGAGAGAGAGAGAGAGAGAAAGAGAGAATACACTGTCTTCGTACGTTCGTTAGTTGACTTGTCAAGGTATCGACAGGTGCGCCAACTATCGTTAAAGTTACCGTACTAATGGAATTCGAAAGTCTTTCATATAATTATTATATATAGACAATATATTATTTCCGTAATAGAAATAAATATGCTAAAGAATCAATATATTTTTAATTATTTCTATTACAAAAGAGATAATCGTAAAGATTTCTCTTACACGCTTGTTCATTCGATTGTTGGTAGCACTGGTTAAAGCAGCAGTAAAATTTGGATGGTAGGAAAGTAACACGCATGCGCATTTGCGTCTTAACGAAATAGTCGTAAACAACATTTTTTTTCAATCCAGAACCCTGAATAGTTTACGTATGGGAAAGTAACGGGGGGTTAATCGAGTTAGTGGATGACGTTTTTTTGTATTTTCGATGAATTTTGGAAAAAATATGATATTTTTCGGATACGAATGGTACCCATAATTCCTGCATTTATGGGTCGTTGGTATGCGGTGACGTCATCCGAATCGTTCTGGAAAAGCCCTGCAGGACAATAATGGCGGGTACGTATTTTGGGTCGAGCAAGAAGGGACGGCGCCATCCCTTTCGGGTTTTCTTCGCGTAAAAGTCTTACGAGTTCATTCTTTTATCGCATTATGTCGATTCTAGATTTGTTTGCAAAATACAACTGTACGTATTGTCAAGAGGATATTACAGGATTGCGTATAAAATGCGTCGAATGCCCAGATTTCGACCTATGTTTGCAGGTGAGTCGAACGGGAACGCCTGCTCCTTGTCACGTGCTCCTCTTCCTCCTTTCACCCCACCAACCACCCACTCAACCCTATCTACTCTTCTTATCACCTCTTTTCCCTCATACCCCTCATACTCGGCGCTCCTCTTCTATCATTTTCTTTCCTTGTCTTTCTCTTGTGCCGGATTTTGCGTCCTGAAGTTTGCATCGATTCTCACGAATATATTGAGATCAGCTGTTGATCAGCTACTTTTGTGTCGTCTGTAGCCATTTATTAAATGAGCCAAGTTTTTACTATGTCGGGTATACGTGTGTATGTATGCATGCATGCATCTGTAAATAGTTTTTTGCTTTATTTTTTTTTTTTTTCTTAATTTTTATTACTTTCTTAAGAAATTTAATATACTTATTTTTTTTTACGAGAGCAAATAAAAATATTCATGATTTATCATTTTTTTTCAACAGTGCTTCTCAGCTGGAGCTGAAATTGGCCAACACAAAAATGATCACTCCTATCAGTTTATGGTAAATATGCGTATTTGTTTTTATATGTTATTACAATTTTTTTTTTAATTTTTACAAAGATGCCATATTTTGATATTACATATAATATGTTCAATTTTTGTAGGATTCTGGTACTATTAGTATATTCAATGGACGAGGTAATTGGACTGCAAAAGAACAACTTAGACTTTTGGATGCCATTGAACAATTTGGCTTTGGTAATTGGGAAGATATCAGTAAACATATTGAAACTAGAAGTCCGGAAGGTAAATAAAAATTCATTGAAAGATTTATACTCATACTGTATACATATATATATATATACATATATAATGTAATATCTTAATATATATTTACTATTATATGAAATTGCAGAAGCGAAAGAAGAATACACTGCTAGGTATTTGGATGGCAACATCGGAAAGCATACATGGCCACCTACAGAAAGCTATACGCCAAATCTTACGGATCAAACTAAGTCAGATAATGGACCACTGTCGCCCGATCTCACATCTCGGTTACCTCCACTGGATATAACACCGGAGGAAGCTGCTCAACTGGGCTATATGCCTCAACGAGATGACTTTGAAAGAGTATGTTTATCCTATCGTTTAGCTTTTTAACCATTTAATATGTTGTTAATAATATTTTGAAATATTTCAGGACTATAACCACGAAGCGGAGTCTCTCGTTTCTTCGTTATTTTTAAATCCTGCAGAGGACGATGATCTTGACATAGCGCTTAAGCTAGCACAAGTCGATATGTACACTAATAATTTAAGAGAAAGAGCTAGAAGAAAACGCGTCGTACGAGATTATCAACTTGTGTCTTCTTTCTTTGCATCTTCTAGAAAAGATAGAGGAGGAGTAAAGAAACGAAGAACGAAGGAAGAGAGGTATGAATATTTATTAACTACTACTATGTTTTTCACAATATGTTATATATCTATTAAATATCCTTCTGTTCTTTTTCAGAGAATTTAGAGACAGAATGCGCACTTTTGCACAATTTTATACAGCACAGGAACACGAGCAGTTCCTAACAAATCTTGAAAGAGAAAGAGAGCTTCGGTTACGACTCTCTGAACTTTATCGTTATCGGGAGCATGGCATAGCAAGGCACGAAGAATGTGCTCATTTTGAACAAATAATAGCACAGGCTCAGGGACAAAACGATGCTGCAGAACACTGGACAGAAAAAAAATCTGTAAGTATTTGTTTACATTTATTAATAATTCTTTTTTTTTTCTTTCGTAATGGTAAAAATGATTAATACTCTTGCGTTACCATTTTTACCATTTTTTTCACATTAAAATATAATCGAACGAACATACACCATTAACACTTTCACGATCGCGATGACACGGTATTACGCGTCTTTTAGAAAACTAAATTTAATATTCAATGATTCTGATTATTTTTTGAGACATTTTATAATCCTCAATCGATACCGATTCGCGTATAAAAGGGATTTAATACAAATGTATATATTATCTCTATTAATATTATACGAATCTTCGGATAAGCAATTAATATTTCAGCTTTAGTTTCTTTTTGACACTCTTTGTTCATGCAAATCCATACAGAAGGAATGTAAAACAACGTTCAGAGCTTTAATTATACTGTATGTACTAGCTTTTTCTTCCTCTTAACTAATTCTATTGTTTGTGGTGCGTGTTGCCAGGAATTTGTTAACAGATTGTATCAGTTTACATTTCACTTAGGGCAGCAGTGGGCCGTCCACACCAATACATCGCCACACCTCAAAAAAAAGGTACGTTTATAGATGGACGCGAGTCTGGTGCAACCTTAAAGCGAATTTTACGCGACCTTACTTCGCACGATATTACGTTATCGTAATGACAATAAATGACAATATTACTGATCATGTAAGAGTTGTGAAGATGGAATGATGGACGGTGTTGACCAGAATCCAGTTTTACTGCAAAGTTTGAAGAATACTGATCTAGCTAATCAAGAGGAATGATCAGGATAATATTATTACTAATGGGATTATAGCTGATCGCGTGAAGTCCGCTTTGAGCTGAACATGTAAAACTGACATACATATACGTGTACATATATTTGTATTTGTACATTATATATATTGTATATATGTCAAACAAGCACGTTCTAGTTTACAGTCCTTCATTCTAGAGAAGAAGAAAAAAATTACTCTTCCACCGACCGAAAGTCCACTATAAAAGTAGACACAGCCAGCAGCAGCTCCACAATGAATCAAATCAATCCCAATCGGATGATGATTCCAACCAATCAGTGGGCGGAGCAGGATAGCAGCCAACATTCTACGAGTTCAAATTCTACAATAGAAAAAAATTGCAACTTAGGGTCATCTTCTTCAAAAATACTCTCGCATTTGGGAGAAACAGGAGAACGAGATATAGAATTGGAGGCATCGGCGCATCTTTTAACGAAACAAGAAAAATTATTATGTCTTCAATTAGACTTGAAGCCGATGCAATATTTAACGCAAAAAACATTGTTGTTACAAGTGAGTTAATTTTCTTTTTTCAATCTGGTAAAAGTACTTTTTGTATTTTCTTTTTTCTTTTTTTTTATTCTAGAATGTTTATATTGTTGCAGGAATATCTCAGCGGTAATAAAAAATCAGGGATTATACCTCAATCGGAACCAGAGAGTAAGATACTTCATTATTTGGTAGCTAATGGTTGGATCGCAGCCAATTGATCGATTATCGAGACAAAAGTTATGCTCATTTTCCAATTCTAAGTCATCCTTTATTTTACTAAGTCGTAGATATATAATGACAACATGAGTATAACTTAATTAATAAATAAGAATTAGATAGAAAAAGAGAGCATATAACAACAAATTTCTTTTTCTTCGACTACGTTTTTCTGAAACAATGTTATGTCTCAGTTATGTTATAAAGTTTATTGAAAATGATATTGCTGTTATCAAGAACGAAGAATATTATACTACTAGATAAATTATAAATGTAGTATCATTTTTATTTGATATCAATTCAGGTTGGGGTATGTATGTACATATGTAAATGCACGCACATATCGATATATGTGTATGTATATTTATCGAAACGAGTCTACCACTTTTAAATTCAAAAATGATCTAAAGAAAATATTTTATAATACTGCCTTCTTAGTCACTATATACTGTTCTATCAATTCTTCCATATAAAATCTTGTTGTTTCTTTTTTCATTTTTCTTTTTTAGATCATATTGTTGCACACGTGTAGAATATCATCGTTTATTTTATTTCAATATTATTTGTTACCATACTTGACAATAAGGAAAAAATAATTTGTGCGTCATATCTTTTTTAAATTATGTGGAACAACTGCAAGGACACCAAGTATCTGTGTAATTGTAATTTATGAAAGTATTGCTGTCGTGCTTGAAGATCTAAAATATATTCTATCACACGTTAAATTCATTCTTGCTTAACATTTTCAGCAAAAAAGAGTACGTAAAGCTGCAATATGAAACAAAAAAGAATAAAAAAGAAAAACAAAAAAATAGAACACTTTTTTCTTATTGCATTGATATGAGATTTGCCTATTGAAAGATTACATGTTATTAAATATGATATGTATATATAGATTTAGCTTTATAAAGTGGAGATACTTAACCTAGAGATACTGTGGAGATGATACGTAGCCTAGTTCGTCTAATATACGAATATTTTCTCTGTGTAAAATAATGAAAAGAAAAAACAAAAAAAAAAAAAAAAGAATGGTACAAATACGATAAGATCTTAACATTGTGGGAGAAATGTATAATAGTAAATAATTTATCTATCGCTAGTGTAGCATTTGTATATATTTATATATATATACATATATATATATATACTATTATATATGGAGGAAAACACATAGTACCTTTTTATTAATAGTAAATGTTGTTGCACAAAAAAAAAAGTATAGACTTTTCCAGAAGTTAAATGTAATTAAAGAGTTTTCCGATCTTATCACTCTAATTAAAATTTATCAAGATAAAAATGTCATATTTGTTCTCTCTGTTTAAAAAAAAAAAAAAGGGGGAAAAAAAAGAAATAAATCCAAAAATAATGTACTTTCTGTCAAATATAATTACGTAATTTCAAGAAATAAGTATTTCATTTTATGATTGATATACGTGTAAACATATTGAAAATGATTTTTGCATCATATTAATTAAATATAATTGGAATAAATTGTTGAAGCACTTAGCAGCATATTCTTGTATAAAGATTGCGATTGATCAGGTGTGAGCAACATGCTGTATAAATCTACAAATTACGACAGGTTTTGCTTTGCGTAAATATTTCCAATGTAATAATATTCACGATTATAAAATGATTTAATTTCATTTGAATGGACATATATAGCAGAAGTTTGTTTAGTTAATTAACCAATGTGACCGGGAGGATAAATTATGCGGATTAATAAAGGTCCTACTGTACATACATCTCGAACGCATGATCAGATTATTAAGACGTCGGATAAATGTGTGGATCGGTTAATCGAGATCTTACTGCATATACAGGGTAAGATAAAAGTCGCTTTCTTTAAAATAACTCCAAACAAACTATATATTTATTTTTGTATTTTTATATATTCATTTTCTGCATCTGTTTCGCATAAATTATTTATTCTCTTGTACAATAATAAAAAACAAAAATACCGTACTAAAAGCTATAATAAAATATTAACTGATAAATATCTGCTGTTCGTACAGCTGCAGTTGCATATCATTGTATGAAACAATTGCTATAATTAACGAATCTTTGGAGAAAGCTACTTTTATCTTACTGTATATCGTTATGTAGATACGAAGTGATATAGAAATTGATTATGTAAATATCATAATTACGATTGTACGTTAATTTTTATTTAACCAGGAAATTGACTTGTTAACGAGTTTAAAGAAAAATCGAACTATTCGACTATTAGTCTAATAGTTCGATTTTTCTTTAGTCTATATATATATAGACTAAAGAAGGAGAAAAAGTTCTAAATATTTTGTATGAAAGACGTAAACTTTACCTTCTTTTTTTTTAAGTAGTACACGATCAAAAGATTCTACG